TTAGACTTCTAGCTTCCAGAACTATATAACAGTTTCTATTGTTTTAAGCCACCCAGTTTGTGGTACTTTGCTATGACAGCACTAGAAAATGAATACAATGACCAAGAAGGTTTATTCCAGGAATTCAAAGGTGGATCAATATCAGCAAATCTGTCAATCATAGTCTATTACACATCAACAAATTAATGGACAAAAACTACATGATGTCACATATGCTGAAAAGGCATTTGATAAAACCAGCAGCAAATCTTAAAAACCCTAATTAGGAATAGAAAGACAAAATAAAGACCATAAGTCAAGAACAAATATTATCCTAAACAGTAAAACTCTAAAACAATTTCATCTAAAATCATAAATTAGGCAAATTTGTCAACAATCACTATTATTATCTAATATTCTCTTGGAAGTGCTAGCAAGTTCAATAAGACAAAAATTACTGATATGAACAGGAGAAAAGAAGAGATACAATGATTTTTGTTGAGACAACTGCATATCTCAAAAAACTTAAGAACCTCTAGTAACATGCCTACTAAAATTAAAAGATAATTTGGCTTTTTTTTTCTATATTAGCAGTAAGTTTTTAGATATGGAAAAAATTCCACTTACAATAGTGATAAGAATTATAAAATGCTTGAGAATAAATTTAAAAAGAAAGGCACAGAATTTATACAAAGATGATTGTAAGGTCTTATTGAAGAGCATAAAATAAGAGATGAAGAAATGGAAAGCCATGCCATATTCTTGGATGGCAAATTTTACTATTATAAAAATGCCAATTCTTTCAAAGATAATAGATAAACTTAATTCAATTCCAAATAGAATCAAACAGGAAATTATCAGGAGAAACTGGATTAATTGAGCTTAATATTTATATAAAAATTTAAATTGGATTCCTGTTTTATATCACACGCAAAAGTGTAATTCAAATGGATTAAAGACTTAGATGAAGAATATAAAAATCTTTGAATAAACTATATGTATTGTCTAGAAGTTGGAAGAACCATGTTACACAAGGAAGGAAATTCAGATGCTATAAACAAAAGGATGTACATGTTTGACAAATAAAAGTTTAAAAATTTTTGTATGATAAAAAGATATCATAAATAAAATTAGAAACAACAAATTTAGAAAAATGCTGTTATAAATTTACAAGAAAAAGACTGTCCAAAGAAAATGAGTTTGAGCTTTGCTTGAGAAGAAGGAGCAAAGAATATAACTAATTTATAGTACATTGTCAATAAATATGCAAAAATATGCTCATTGTAGTCAGGGAAATGCAAATTATACTACTATTGAGAAATCACTTTACACCCATCAGACCAACAAAAATGTAAAAGAGCAATAACACCTATTATTGCCACTAAGGATGCAAGAAAAGGGTACTCTCATACAGAGATGGCAGAAATATGATTCGACAACAAATATTTCAAAATTAAAACATATTCTTTGAATCGGCAATTCCATTCTCAGAAAGCTATTCCAAGATGTATGTACAAGGATGTTTTTGACAGTATTGTGTATCTGTGTAAAAATCTAGAAACAGAGTTATTAATTACGAATGAATTACAGTTGACCCTTGAACAACAGGGGTTTGAACTGTATGGGCCCACTATACATGGATTTTTTTCACTAAATACATACCACAGTACTACAAGACCCGCAGTTGGTTGAATCCTCAGATATGGAGGAGGGCTGACTGTAAAGTTATGTACAGACTTTTGACTGCATGGAGTCAGCACCCCTGACCCCTGCATTATTCAAGGGTCAACCATAATTCTGAAAAAATAGCTGAATAACTTTTGATACATTCACATCATGGGATATTATTAAGCTACTCTACACAATCAAATAAGACCTAAACTTGTTGACATAGGATCTGCAAAGGATACAAGACACAGAGAAGTGTGTAAAATCTAATCCATTTAAAAAAAAAATTAAAACCCCTAAATAGGTATATGACTACACACACACACAAACATATATGAAAAAACACAAAATGATACATACTGAATAGTTAACGTGTTATCTGGTGGATGGGTTATGAGGTGGCTAGAGAAATGGAGGAAAGGGGAAGGGGAGAAGCAAGAGAAAAAGAGAGACTGCACTAAAATCACTAGTGTGTAAGTTACACTTCAATTCATTAAAATTTGTATACACCTTACATGAGTATATATACATTTATTTTTTCTAAGAAATTAAGAAAAATAAAAAGGTGTTTCTCTACTGACTTGTAGAGATGTCCGTGATACATAGTCAAAAGGCAGTTTAGAATAATGTATGTATTACACATGTATTTCTGTAAAACAACACTCAGCTCATCCCTCTTAAGTGTGTACACAAGCAAGGAAAAAGTTATAGAATGCTACACACTAGCTGGTTAGCACTGAATATCTCTGGAGTCCAAACTGGGATTGGGGATAGGAGCAGAGATAATTAGCTTCTTTTTTTACACATCTTCACGTGTTTTATTTCTTGAAAAAATGAAAACCAATAAATGAACAAAGCCAAATGCCTACAGGAGCCAGAGTGAAGCAGGCTTAGTGGGGGCTGTGATGAAGCAGAATACACAACTAAAAACATCCAGATTGAAATGTAAAAAAATAACATAAAAACCATTTTTTTGAGAGAGAAAAAGACAGAGATGAGGGCAGGATCCTAAGTAACGTTTTCTTGTGTTCAGTTTAGAAAAAAAAGTCCTTGTGTTACACAGATTTTCTGTAACAGACAGGGAAATCACACATACTTTACTTTTTATCCATCTATACTCCAATCACAGGATCCATAACAAGGCCCAAAGAAGAATGCAAAATGCTTCTATTCTTTGATGCTAGAATACAGACTATTAGGAGAACAAGGACATACTATCACAGAAATATAGTATCATCATAGGCAGAACACTCTTTGACATAAATTGTAGCAATATTTTTTTGGATCTGTCTCCTAAAGCAAAGGAAATAAAAGCAAAAAAACCCAAATGAGACCCAATTAAACTTAAAAGCTTTTGCCTAACAAAGGAAACCATCAACAAAATGAGAAGACAACCTACTGAATGGAAGAAAATATTTGCAAATGATATGACCAATAACGGTTAATATCAAAAACAGCTCATACACTCAACATCAAAAAAACAAACAACCCAATTAAAAAATAGGCAGAAGAACTGAATAGACATTTTTCCAACGAAAATGGAAATATCCAGAGATACTCACTTTTTCAGATGGCCAACAGGCACATGAAAAAATGCTCAACATTCTTAATCATCAGAGAAATGCAAATTAAAACCACAATGAGATATCACCTCACACCTGTCGGAATGGCTCGCATCAAAAAGAACACAAATAACAAATGTTGGTGAGAATGTGGAGAAAAGGGAACTGTCATACACTGTTGATGGGAATGTAAATTGGTGCAGTCACTGTGGAAAACAGTATGGAGGTTTTTCAGAAAACTAAAAATAGAAATACCATATGACCCAGCAATTTCATTCACGGGTATGTATCTGAGAAAAACAAAAAACACTGATTCAAAAAGATATATGCACCCTAATGTTCACAGCATCATTATTTACAATTGCCAAGATACAGAAGCAACCTAAGTGTCCACCAACAGATGAATGGATAAAGATGATGTGGTATACACACACACACACACACACACACACACACACACACACACACACACACACACACCCACTGGTATACTACTCAGCCATAAAAAAGAATGAAATTTTGCCATGTGCAGCAACATGGATGGACTTGGAGGGTATTATGCTAAGTGAAATAAGTCAGAGAAAGACAAATACTGTATGATATCACTTATATGTATAATCTAAAAAATACAACAAACTGGTGAACGTAACAAAAAAGAAAGAGATTCACAGATATAGAGATAGGGGTAGGGGATTAAGGGGTACAAACTATTATGTATAAAATAAACTATGAGGATATATAGTACAACACAGGGAATATAGCCAATATTTTATAATAACTATAAATAGTATATAACCTTTAAAATTGTGAGTCACTATGTAGTATACCTGTAACTTACATAATATTGTAAATCAACTATACTTCAATTAAAAAAGCAAAAATAAAATACTGACAAAAAAAGAATCCTGGCTTAAGAAAGGACCATGGAAAATGCCCGATCCAACTTCCTCACATTACAGCTGAGGAATGTGAGGCTAGGTTAAGCAACTGCCATACTCGATTCCCTCCATTCCCTGCATGGCAGAAAATTATTTTATCTCAGAATTTTCACTCAGAGCAAATAAATGGTAGACAAGTAACAATGGTATTTCATTAGTTCAATAAATAAAAGTTCTCCTATTTTACATGTAAAAAACCAACCCTCAACTGTTACATTAAACGTTTGAAATGAAAGGCACAGAACCTGTTTAAGTTGCCTTGTGTAAACCTGTAAAGACACTGGTTGAAACCACATGGTCAGTCCTCAATCATTCACTGATCCATCCTTCTTTTTATTCAACCAGCATTCACTGAACACTGTCTATACTCCTGACGCTGGGAGGTACTGGTGATACACACATTAGTGAGGCACAGTCTTTGTTCACCATCCAGTGAGGAAGTGATAAGCTATGAAACAAGTTGGACCAAAATACAAACCAAGTGTAGGTGGAACGATTTACTCTGACTGGAGTTTCAGGAGCAGCTTTATCAAGGGAAAAGTTGACACATGAGTCAGGCCATGTAGGATGTAGGATTCCAGAGGCAACAGCAAGAGCAAAAGCAAGGAAGTAGTGTGTTTGAGGAAATGATCAGAATTGAGCCCAATGCAAGAAAAGAACAAGGGAGAAAACTAGAAATTCACATGTTCTAGCCTGAGGATAAAAGTAAATTCAATCTAAGTGCAAGATAATTTGCCACCCCATCTCTTGCATGCCTGACATGTGGGAAGCATTCAGTAAAGAATGTCTGGGTAAATCCTGACCAACTAAGTAATCTCTCTGTTCAAGTTATTGAATGATTTCAGCACATTACCATGTACCGTCCAGGGTCTAAATCTCCCATCATGCCTTTCAGGTGGGTGTTTTCAGTTCTGACAACTTTACATCTCATATCTGAGACCTGAAAGGAGATTAGTAGTTAAAAGTGAATGTAAAATTCATAATAAAAGTTCACAATTCTATGAAAATTAATTTTATTTTATTAATGTAAATATTTTCAAAGTGTAGTGAAGGGAAACACTTCTTAGGCAGCATCATCATAAATCAGGTATTCTCATTCAGTTCTTGGACCTTTAGCAGGCCCCATTTTACCCTCCTTTTTGGATTGGTGCTAAATTAAAAATAGATACTTACAATAATGATGCATTATACTTTTCTATTCCAAAATTCCATTTCTCACTTCTATTTTTTTATGGTATGCAAATTACCATCAGAAAAATCACAGTTTTAAAAACATGCTTAAATAATAGTGTCCGTTAAATTTGTTCATGACCTGATTAATTTTTACAATATGCAAATATGATTTCATGTTTAATTTTGTTCTTCTTGATACCTCTGCCAAATTTCCTTCTTTTTTGTGACAACTTCATTTTGTCTCCTCATTTATTTTTCCCCCTAATTTCTTCTACTTAAGAGCACTTAGACATAGCATTTGCCCTTTTATTTATCTAGGGCTCATTTCCATATAAAACACTTCCCTTAAAAAGGTTTACTTTTGTAAATCACAAAATATATTCTCCTTGACAAAAATCTAAAAATATAGAAGAATATAAAGGTGAAAATAAAAATCATTCATGATCCAACTACCCAGATCACTGTTAACACCTGTAAAAATATCATTTCCTTTACAGGTGCAACCAATGCTCTTGTCCTATCTATGCTGTTTTCCTGTATATTATACAAATTAATCACAGTTTAAAGCTTATAATTGGGCAAAGGCAGAATCTTTTCTTGTTTTTACAATACACAGGATTGAAATAGCCCTGTTATTTATGAAGTAACCCTCATATGCCTAGAAAATTATTGAACGGTGCTCTCAGAAACCCTATTTGGTGGTGAGATGAGTTGGGAGATTGGGATTGACATATATACACTGATATGTATAAAATAGCTAACTAATAAGAACTTGCTGTATAAAAATAAATAAATAAAATAAAATTTAAAAATCCCTCTAAATTTGGGGTAAAAACACTGAGAAACCCTATACTTTCAGTAGCAGGCCACCAATTTGATGATGAGTATGGGACTGAGGGAATTTCAAAATGAATAGGAGGGGAGGGAGGGAGGGAAGACTTAGAAGTCACTTGCAGTATTTTAACAGTAGAATGTTATAATGGCTGTTTTTCCCCATGAACCACGCTATGCACTGAGTGAATGTTCAATAAATATGAACTAATCGTCGTGTTTCATATCCATTTTTTAAAACTCTAAAATAAAGGTATGAAATGGGAGTGGGGAGGGTCCAAGAAAAGCTGGAGTAGAAGCTTTTTTTAAGATACGAATGTTAATAGAAGAGAACTATGGAAAACAAATTCAGGAAGAAATCTTTGACCAGAGCATGCTGTGGGAGGTGATCAGAATACGGGTCACTAGAAAATGTTAGCATGAGATTTAAAGAAATTTTCTTGGGCTGTCACTTGTTTCCCTGGTTCTTGTTTGATGACACTTTGCATTATCTCACCAAGGTTTTATGTGACTCCCCAAAGCATTTCTGTGCTGTTAGTCTCAGAAGCAATACAAGAAATACAACCCTTTTATTAATCAATAAGGAAGGCGACTATTAGCACTAAGCAAGAGTGACCTGGACGGGTGCTTCCTGCCGCTTGCATACCTGTTGTTTCGCCAACATTTTCTCTTTTATTTCTAACTCCATTTTTAACTGTCTTTCCAGAAAGGCAGCTTTCTTCATGATAGTTGCTATAGTGATTTCCTTCTGATGAAGCTCCTCTGTTAGGTCAGAGATTTCATTCCTCATTCTTTCCTGCTCAGAGCTATGGTACTGTTCCTCCTGATAGAGTTGGCTTCTTATCTGCAGCAGATATTTTCCAGAAAATAGTAACAAATCCTTTATACAGCAGCTGAAAGGTTTTATTGGCCATGTTCGGTCTTCCCATCCTATCTTAATACTTTGCCAGACCTCACTTTACCCTCCTTTTCTGATTAATACTAAATGAAAAAGATACTTACAATAATGATTCATTTACTTTTTCCTTCCAATTTCAATTTTTTTTTTCACTTCTATTTTCTATTGTATGTAAGTCATCACCAACTACCGATACCACTTTAATGACGACTTTGACAGGAAGGTGGGGAAAGTATTATCAAGCACTTTTCCCCCAGCTTCATTGAGGTATAATTGCTATACAAAAACTGCACATAGTTCATGGATAAAATTTGGTGAGTTTGGACATACACTTGTGTTACTATCACCATAATCAAGAAAATAAACATTACAATTACCCCTAAAAGTTTGTGTCCCTTTGTTGTTTTAATTTTGTGTATGTGTGGTAAGAATACTTAACTCAAGCTCTACCTTCTTAACAAATTTTTAAGTGCACAATAGCTTATTGTTTACTGTTGCACTGTGTTGTGCAGCAGACTGTGGAACTCACTCATCTCGTGTAACTTACTTCATACCCATTAAACCACCACTCCGGACTTGGTGCCATGGAAGAGCACTGGACCCACAAGCCAGAGGCTGATGAACCATTTTTTAGGGAGAAAAAAATTGGCTTAGAGAGGTTAAGTGACCTGCTCAAATTCATAAAACTATTAACTGGCAGAGCTAGGTCTAGAACTTAGGACTGTTGGATCTAAATTCAGTGCTTTTTTGGACTAAATCATGCTGTACTATTTGCGACTGAACACTATGTTTTTTAGAGTCTTGTTACAATAAATTTCAAACTTAAGGTGTCCATCAAAAAGCATCACCTACACTTCTTAAGCCGGTGGAATCTCATATTCTTTTTTTTTTTTTTTTTTGGCGGTACGAGGGCCTCTCACTGTTGTGGCCTCTGCTGTTGCGGAGCACAGGCTCCGGACGCACAGGCTCAGCGGCCATGGCTCACGGGCCCAGCCGCTCCGCGGCATGTGGGATCTTCCCAGACCGGGCCCAACCCGTGGTCCCCTGCATCGGCAGGTGGACTCTCAACCACTGCGCCACCAGGGAAGCCCTCATATTCTTAACTTTAGCTAAACCTTCCACAGTAGAAACCTCTGGATCACCTTGGACTCCTCCCCTCCCTCATCCTCCCAAATCAAGTCAGGTAGCAAATTCTGTCCCTTCTATTTCAACCTCTCTTAAATCTCACCTCTGCTTTCCATTCCTACTACCACTGTCTTAGTCCAGCCTCCTCCCGTCTTTCTAGAAATCTTTCACTCTCTCTAATTCTTGAGGATCAGAGATAAAGTATGTAATTACCGGTCTCAAAAAAATAAATCACAGTCCATCGGGGGAAACAGGAAAATAAACAGTTAGAACACAGTGTAGCAACTGATATCAGCAGTATGTAGTGGAGTAGTGCTTACTCCAGCCTGGGGATGCCAGGATAGGATTCCCAGAGGAAGGGACATTGCACTGAATACTGAAGGATGAATGGAAGCCAGATGGAAGAGAGAGATGGAGGTGAGCTTCCAGGCAACGAATGCAGGGAAGGAGCGGGGTCAGAGGGAGAAGGCATGCTCAGTGAACCAAAAGGAATTTGGAGTGGCTGGGACTTGGCGCGTTGTGAGAAGTAAGGCTGGAGAGTTAAGGAGGGGCCATTCACAAAGAGATTTATATGAATTTACCCCTCAGAACTTACTTCAAAAACTTTTTTTTTCATTTCATCTTTAAACGTTTCAGGATATATCTCTAAAAGAATAGCGGTGTGCTCTCTCTCTTTTCTAACATAACCAGAATACCATTATAATGTCTTAAAAATATTAACAACAATTCCTCAATATCATACAATATCCAGGCAGTATTAAATTTAAAATTGTATCAGAAGTGTAATGAATGGTTTTCAGGTCTGCTTATTTGAATTGAGATCTAAATATGGTCCACACATTGAGACTGGCACCTATCATTTTTTTTTTTTTTTCTGGTACATGGGTCTCTCACCGTTGTGGCCTCTGCCATTGCAGAGCACAGGCTCCGGACGCGCAGGCTCAGTGGCCATGGCTCATGGGCCCAGCCGCTCCGCGGCACGTGGGATCTTGCCGGACCGGGTCACGAAACCGTGTCCCCTGCATCGGCAGGCGGACTCTCAACCACTGAGCCACCAGGGAAGCCCCTGGCACCTATCTTTCTAAAGCCTCTCTTTGTGCATGCATGTGCGTGTGCACGTGTGTGTGTGTGTGTGTTCTGCATACATCGTCTTATTTAATCACCACAATCTCTATATTCCAGATCAGAAAATTAAGATACATAACTGTTCACAGTCACATTCTCGGTGACAGGCAGTGTGATTCCAGGTCCTTACCCATTGTTCTATGTAACCTCTGTGAGCACAGCCCTAGAACGTGGTTCCCACATTGGAAAAAAGCCAGAGTGGGATGACCTAACATGGAAAGTACTCAGGTCAGTAAGGCAACCATGGTCCAGCCTCAGGCTTTATACCATCAATTTCTCATCTGAGTTTATTCTTTTTACTAAAATTTTTAGAATTTCAGAGCTGGACATAACCTTAGAAATCACATGGTCTAACTCCATCATTAAAAAAATGGAAAAACAAAGGCGCATAGGGAAAGGAACTGACTGGGTCTAAGTTATCCAGCTCCTAAGAGCAGAAGCATAGACTAGGAGACTGAAGTACAAATACCCTCACCGCAGGACAATATTACACATCTCCTTTCGTCTCCCATCTTCTCTCTCCAATTTTTTCTCTTATAATTTATTTGATGAACAATGGGATTGTTCTATCATTTGCCCCAATTTGGATTTTGCTGATTGCATCTCCATGGTGTAGTTTAACATGTTCTCTTAAAATGGTACTTTTAAAATGTGGGGAAAAAATGAGTATATTATCATGAAGAAGGAGTAAACTATTTTCATTATTTTCATAACATTTAGATATTAAAACATGCTATACTGCAAAATTTCTTTTTAAATGAGATTAATTTACCTAGCTGTAAATGACTTTTGGCTTTATTAAAAATGTCAATTTTATCACAAAATAAGTTACTAAAAATCGTTCTATATTGACAAAAGAGAAAGAAATAAAACACTTGCAAGATTCATAATACATGGCTCTTGTTGGTTTTATTACAAGAGAATGAAAATGCTCTCTATAAACACTTCCCAGAAACTATAGCTATTTATACACAATTCATTTGTTACCTTTTCTGCACAGCAATGCATTATCTAGAGGTCTCCCAGAGTCTGTAAAGAGATTTGTGTCTTGCAGTCTCTCCCTCCACATCAAAACTGTACAAAATCAGTAGATTCCTTCTAAGTTTTATTACTCTACCTAAATCTATGAGGTTAAGAACGGTGTAACTATAATTTAGGAGGATTTAATCAACCTTTTATCATAATGTATTCACTGGGGACTCCAGTCAAGAACAGTTTTTAAAGTTATATTTTAAAATATCAGTAAAATAAGTTTCATGGGATTATGTGAAAAATATAAGGAAAATGATCATTAATTCGTAACACCTTTTCTACACTTAATAGTTGCCTGACAGTCAATTCTTCAGGAGATGGGATTTGTCTTTTACATTATTATATTTCCTACAGAAATAAGCAGTATAGCAACAGTCCTACTAGATACTCAATAAATGTTTGTTTAACTTATACAAACAACTGAATTTATGACCCTATACAATTATGGGAGACTTCAGCCTTAATATTAATTAATTTGTTCTCTAAATATTTATTTTCACTCATTGTGTGTCAGGTACTTTGCTGGGCACTGGATGATAATTCAAAGCCACATCCAGTACTTTCCTACTTTTAACAACTGTTTAGACTATATAGCATTGAATATTCTGTGTAATCCTTAAACTGAAAGACCAGAGAAGCGGGTAGCAGCCGTGAGAAACTCACGGGGAAGCCACTACTGAATTTTACTAGAGGAAGAAGAGAAGACAGTTTTTGTAGCTGCCTAGCTCCTGGCAGAGTACTTGGCACATGTTAGGTGCTCAATGACAAAATGTGGGTGTCACCAATAACAATAGCAGCCAACATCTATTAGGTGCTTCCTCTGAGCTAGGTAGGCCCTGTTTTAAGCGCTTTACTTGCATTATTTTATGGATTTTAACTTAAAGGAAGAGTATGAATTCTGGAGCCAGACTGCCTGGCCCCTGCTACTTACTAGTTATATAATATTGGTGGAAATTACTGACCGTCTCTGTGCCTTAGTTTCCTTAAATGCAAAAGAGGATAGTATTAGTACCTACTTTATAAGATGGTTGTGAGGAATACATGAATTAGGATTTGTTAAGCCCTTAGAACAGCTTCTGGCACATGGCAAGAGTTGTTTAAGCTTGTTTAATCCTCATCACAACCTTGTGAGGTGGGGCGAATTAACCCACCCCCATCCTAGAAATGAGAAACATAAGCAGCTCGCATAGGCAACTTCCCAAAGCTCATGCACCTAGCGTGTGGTTGAGTGCAGGCCTCTGCTCTCACACTTCCTGCGCTCAGCTACCCTGCACCGAGCCACAGGCCCTCTGTGTTTCCTGGGCAGTCTCCCAGCAGCAGAGTGATGACCTAAGCTTTGTCTTTCTTATAGCATCACACAGAAGAGTGTCAGAATTAGCAGCTCGGTAGGTTATTATCTTAGGAGAAAACACAGAAGGAAAAAGAAGGGAGTGTGGGGGCTTCCCTGGTGGCGCAGGGGTTGAGAGTCCGCCTGCTGATGCAGCGGACACAGGTTCGTGCCCCGGTCTGGGAAGATCCCACATGCCGCGGAGCGGCTGGGCCCGTGAGCCATGGCCGCTGAGCCTGCGTGTCCGGAGCCTGTGCTCCGCAACGGGAGAGGCCACAACAGTAACAGGCCCACGTACCGCAAAAAAAAAAAAAAAAAAAAAAAAAAAAAAAAAAAAAAAAAAAAAAAAAAAAAAAAAAAAAAAAAAAAAAAAAAAAAAAGAAGGGAGTGAGAGGGAAGATGTTTTTCCCCCTTTGTATTCAGAGACTTCAGATCTGCCTGGAAGAACAAAGCTCATTATTTGCCATACCTTGTTCAATTCTTTTTCATGATTTGGTTGATCTGGGGTCACTGCAAACAGCTCTTTCCGTTGTTTTTCTGATTCTTTAATAGATGGTGAATAAGATGATTCAAGTCTACAAATTATAATGAGTAAAAATTAAGCTTAACTTGATAAATTGTTATGATTATATTGTTAATTTAGGCCATCATAGGATGCAGAGATAGATTATTAGTCTGCTGGAAACATTTCTAGTTACCGAAATGGCAAGTTCTAATACATTCAGGTCCCATAAGTATTTGCATATTTAACTGAGTGCAAATAGTCTTAGTGAAAAAAATAAAACCTAGTTATTAATATGGAATTTCAATTATACATTAAAAATTGGCTCAATACTGGATCTGCATATGTAGATAAGATTTTTGGATAAGAAGAAAAGACTGTTTGGTATAATAAAATAGCTTGGGAGCCAGTTTAAAAAAGAAAATACACATGACCTGCTTATACATCATGGAAAGGAACTATGTCAGGAGATGTCCGAGGGGAGCTGCTACTCTGTAAAAGTGATTCAAAATGATTAAATCTGACAGGCTACCCAGAGAGAGTGCAAATATGTCTATTTTTTGGCTGCTCAATTTATGAAGTGGAATAGCAACCATATATGGACACTAGAGAGGAAAGGCAGAAACTAGTATAAAAAGTACCATTTCCATAGGAAGGTTGGAGAACTAGAAACAGGTAATGCTCACTTCCACATCAGGGAGGTTGGTAAAATTAAAAAAACATTAAAACAGAAAAATAAAGATAACCAGGCAAGAAAAGAAACGTGCTTTCCACTATTGCTGGACTAACCTGGTAGAGTCTGGGGTTTTGAGGAATGTACCCACCTATAAGTGAGCATAATTTTAGATTTCCAAAGAGCTTTTTAAAAAGTTCCACAAATCAAAAACTTAAGCCACACATTCAAACACAACAAAATCTGAGTAATGATAGAGAAATAACTAATGTAAAGATGGAAAATAAAGGGCTCTTTTAAAAGGTATAAATTAATAGTGATATCCCTGAGGTACATATGTCTGGACTGGACTGCTTTTTTTCTGGTTATCAAATATACATGTTAAGTGTAGAAAACAGTTTATCAGAGTATATACTGCGATAAATTGTCATCTAGGAAAAACTGCTGTCAGCATTTTTGTGTATATTAATTGTCTTTTTTGCCTGTGCATATGTGTATAAAAACATACATGTTTCCTGTACAATTAGAATGTACTGAACACATTATTTTTCAGTCCCCTTTTGTTTCCCACTCAGTAATATATTGTGAGTATTTTATCCAATATTCTCCTAAAACATTATTTCAGGATCAATCTTAAATTTCTCTTATTTGCTATGATTTTAAAAATGTGAAAAATGAAATTTCCTGATTTTTTAATTCTTCCTAAGCAATCCAGGGAGTGGAATGCTGACCTGAATGGTAAAACCTCATAATGATCTTATAAATTTCAGTGAGTGAATGGAACAAACATCAAGCTTTAACGTGGACAAGTTCAAAGAAGAAAACAATAATCATGCTAATATAAAGATATAAAGGAACTATCATTTATCTTGTAAGAAGGGAATGTAGAAATTATTTTTATAACTCTCAGAACATATCAGCCCAAGGTGTTTCTGTAAGTAAGAAAAGAAAAAGCTAACAAAATCTTAGCATTATGGAGAAAGGTTCTGAAAATGAATGAAGACATTATAATGCTACTATTATAGATCTACTGTGTGTCTACACTCAGTAGCCTTGGCTGCTTCACCTTAATACAGCTGTAAAGACAAAACAGAGTCTGAAAAAAAAACAATAGAGGATAGAATCATGTTCATATGAGAACAGACTAAAAGAATTAGAAACTTTCAGTGGGAAAGATGAAGGCTGAGAAGACTCTGCCCAAAGTCTAAAATACAATGGAAACTGTGAAAAGTTAAATATCTGTCTTTTCATCAAATCTCAGAATACTAGAACTGAAGAATATCCTCCAAATTAGAAAGATGTAGCTTGGAGACCAAAATATATACCAACTTAAACAGAAGATGGCAAGCAGGCATGCCAGAAGAGTTGTATTAGCCAAATATGTGAATAACTGCAAGATTTTAGGTTAAATCATGTATTGAAGGACAGTTGGCAATGTCTGGAATTCAGCATTGGCCTTGTGAGGAAGTTCCAGAGAAAATACCCACAATGCTCTTCACAAACCAGAGCTAGACATGGCTTGAATGGCTTGCTCTTGTAGGAAACTTCTTACGTTTTTAGGCATATACATTCCTGGCGCGAAGACGTTTCTCACCAACTCACCACACTGGGACAGTGCCTTGCACATAATATATTTCCAGTGGATTTATTAATGATCAGTGGTGATGACATATAGCTTATATATTTGAGCACTCTATAATGCTAACTGGCTAACAGGCATTCTACCATCCTTGGTTAGATGCACAGCAGGTCATTTTTACGGATCTTAATTTGCCATTTGTTGTTAAGTGTAGACCTCAAAGAAATGCTAGCAGATCCCACAACTTTGAAGAAATAATTATTGCCTTTAAAACAATGTAATTATCCTTCAATAAAATATCCCTTACCATTTAGCTATTCAGTTTCTAAAATCCTATCATTGGTCTGGCATTAGCCTTCAGATGTATGAAGGATTCAAGTTCTAATGAGAATTAGAGCATCAGTGAATAGTTAGAACAGTCAAACTGTCTATTCACAAACATAAACATTTAATAATCCTCTAAAGTCCCATTTCCTTTGTGGTTATGTAGTACACAATATCTGTCTGATTTTAAAAAAGGGAAAAAAAGCCTGGTCTAACAAAACCCTTAATGGAACTGACACGGTGGTGAGCGTGGAGGCCAAAATAAATACAACATTTATGAGTGAAAAGTTGGTAACAGGTTTAAGGCCAACAAAATAAAAATATTTGAAAAATATGGAATAAATCTTATTTATCAACATTGATAATTAAATACCAGCTCTATACTATTGTTTTTACGATATTCTGAAGAATAAAGTTCTAAGAAAGTCTCTGACTTCATTATGACACATAAATATCCACATATCAGAACATGATATTATTTTCTAGGTGAGTAAAGATACTGATTTTGAAGATAAAATAATCACTAACTTTTTTTTTTTTTTTTTTTTTGCAGTACTTGGGCCTCTCAACTGCTGTGGCCTCTCCCGTTGCAGAGCACAGGCTCTGGGCGCACAGGCTCAGCGGCCATGGCTCACAGGCCCAGCCGCTCTGCGGCATGTGGGATCTTCCCGGACCGGGGCACGAACCCATGTCCCCTGCATCGGCAGGCAGACTCTCAACCACTGTGCCACCAGGGAAGCCCCCACTAACTTTATTTTTAATATCTAATATTACCTAATAATTAACAGCATGTTAATACAAAACTGACTTTTAATCCTAGTTTCAAATATAAAACTCATAAAAATATTCAAACATGATGTTTTGAATAGTTTTTCTCAGGCTGCTGAATATAAAAATATACCTTTTTTTATTTTCTGGAGCACTTTGGCACTCTCCTAGTTTTAATAATTCTCTGTGCAACTGCAATCGCTCCATTTCTATAATTCTCAAGAGATCATCACGTGATTGTAACTCACTTTTCACCTCTGAGAGTCCTGCTGCCATGGCCTAAATAAAAACATCAAAAAATTTCAATCCTCACATTTGGATATCATGATGTATAATACTTTTAAAAATATTTAATATCTATGAAGCAGCCTAATTTCAAATGAACTGATATATAATCCTTTGTTGGCTCTGTCTTACAGAATTTCATTCATTTATTCAACAAATATTTACTGAGCTCTTACTCTATGCTCAGCACTGAGGATACAGACACAGGATCTGTCCTCATGAGCTTACAGTCTAGTGATAAAGACAAAGAAGCATCCAAATATGGCCATACTGTATCAAAGAGGGAAACATAAAAGTATGAATAAAATATCAATGCATAAAATTTGAATCAATGCAAATAATTCCTAATTTAAATAAGATAATAGCCAAGAAAAATCTAATTTCAAAGCTGGCCAACAAAGTGAACTATAAACCATGGTTTACGGTTCCACTATTGCCCAGTAGTAGCCCTACTTCAGCTGGTAACTAGAAATACCAGCAATCCTGTGAGCCCAGTGTTTTATTTGGCTAATAGCAGGGACTTGAGCAAGTTTAGAAGCTGTTGGGAAGGATCTAGTTGGGAGAGAGAAGGGGTAATACTAACAGTGTCAGCTTCCTGAGAAGGTAGGTGGGGCGGGTCCCAAAGCACAAGTGAAAGAACTGCCTAAAGCAAAAGAGTCCCTCTGCTCCTGCAGCAGGAAAGAAGGAAGGAAGATGGAATGGAGACACATATATGCATTTGGAAATGGCGAGCTAGGAGAGGGGCTACCCGTTGGCTTTTATTTTCCTTGTGAAGGAAAAAGGCAATGTCAGGTCAGTGGAAGGAGAGGTGGAGGTGGGGGTAGGGGAGGGGTTTTTGAGAGTGGAGAAGGTTTGAGATGGCCTTCAATGGGCATGGGAGAGTTAGTGGTTTGGAGCAGCACAGTAGGACTCCTGGCAATGTTGATATTCATTTGAGGTTTGTGCCCATGACCTGTTGAGCGATTTTCTCCAGCAGAACTTGGCTGTTCTCTGGGAGAGAGGAATGGAAGAGTCCTTTCATATCAACAGGTCTCCTCCACTCAATTACACAGAGAAATGAATATTTATTAATGTAATTAATATTAAATACATATTAATATATTTGATGACCCAAGTCATCAAATCCATCGCCAATTTTACAGATGAGGAAATTGAGGGCCAGACTTGGTCCAAAGTTACATAGCTCATAAGTGGCAGATTCTGGAATGGAAAAATCCAGATCTTTTGTCTACTAGTCCAGTTAGAACATTCAAGACGCAAAAATAATTGTTTCATGCAAAATACGTAAAGCAGACCTGTAGCGTATCAGTAAAGATGGGGGGTGGGTGTCATTCTGAGGGCACTGCTAATAAAGGCTGTAAAAAAACCACTGTTGATATTTTCAAAAAATCATTTGTTCAATAATGCTTTATATATCAATAATAGGTTCATTCAAATATAATCTATACACCATAAAATTCACCCACTTAAAGTGTACAGTTCGGTGGATTTGAGAATATTCACAAAGTTGTGCAAGCATCACCACTATCTAATTCCAGAACATTTTCATCACTCCTAAAATAAACCACATACCCATTAGCAACCACTCCTCATTTTCCCTTCCTTCCAACCCCTGGCAACCACTATCGTTATGTTGTGTCTCTATGGAATTACCTATTCTGCACAATTCATACAAATGGAATCATATGACATGTGGCCTTTTGTGACTGGTTTCTTTCCCTGGGCATAATGCTTCCAAGGTTCATCCATGTTGTAGCATGTATCAGTACTGCATTCCTTTTTATTAATAATATTTAATTGTATAGATATACCACTTTATTTATTCATCAACTGATGAACGTTTGGGTATTTCCTTCTTTTTAGCTATTATGAATAATGCTGTTATGAAATTCATGTATAAGCTTTTACGTGGACATATGTTTTCTTCTTCATTAATTCTTATGCAAAAATTCACAGCTTAGAATTATAATCATGTAGACAGTATAGGACATATGGGTTCCCAGATAAACTTTCTTTTTTCTTTTTAACCAAAGTCTTAAATATAATGTATTATTTTCCAGGAGACCTAGAGACCTGGGCTCAGTAAAAGACCTAGCTGCAATACTTTAGCCCCAGAAATTCCTGGCTGATTTGGAAATAAGAATGAAAATATATTCAAAGAGGTGACCTAACAGACTGGTTTGGATAAAGTCCTTGTCTCAAACAGTGGGGATTTTTCAGATGAGGTTAAAATTCCAAAATAAACAAAAGAAATGTGAAACAATAGATTAGCAAATAGAAAGACAAATTAACTTGATGTGAATGTCATCGATTACTTTACCCAATTGAGGAAGGCACTCTCCGGGCTCCCTGCATTGCAGATTTACTACCAGGGAGCAATGTAACATGAACCTGCATGTAGAAGTGTGGGCCTGCCTTTGCTTGGGGAAGCGGGGGGCTGGGGGGGTACAGAAGGGCTCTAACTCCAGGACAGTGAAATGTAGTGTCACCATGGAATTCTGTAAAATGTGATAATAATGGAGTCTATTTGTGTACTGTCATTAGAAAATAATACCTAAAAGAGAGACATTTGGGGCTTCCCTGGTGGCGCAGTGGTTGAGAGTCCGCCTGCCTATGCAGGGGACACGGGTTCGTGCCACGGTCCGGGAGGATCCCACGTGCCGCGGAGCGGCTGGGCCCGTGAGCCATGGCCGCTGAGCCTGCGCGCCCGGAGCCTGTGCT